TATTAGTATCAGTATTAATATTAGTATTAGTATTAGTATTAGTATTCGCATTAGTATTGATATTCGTATTAGTATTAGTATTAGTGTTAATATTAGTATTAGTATTAGTATTAGTATTAGTATTAGTATTAGTATTAGTATTAGTATAAGTATTAGTATTAGTGTTAGTATTAGTATTAGTGTTATAGCAATAGTATTAGGATTAATATTAGTATTAGTATTAGTATTAATATTAGTATTAGTATTAGTATTGGTATTGGTATCAGTATTGGTATTGGTATTAGTATTATTATTAGTATTAGTATTAGTATTAGTATGTGTATCGATATGGATTAGTATCAGTATTAGTATTGATATTAATTAGTATAAGTATTAGTATCAATATTAATATCAATATTGGTATCAGTATTGGTATCCATATTGGTATCGGTATTGATATCAGCATTGGTATCAATAAGGACGTATACATCTTATCTCTTTTGCAATATTTATAAGTTGTATTGTTGTTTGAGCAATTTGCATCACTAATTAAACGTCATTAGTTATAAACTTACAGGTTATTTGAATATCTATTTTGTTACTTCTCTCCTACCATGTTTGTTGTTAATTTAGTTATTTTGCAAAATATTGACATTGTGTAGTAGGTTGCATTCCTCGAACTAGAGTTATACCATATATTTTAAATGATTTCACTTAATCTTCATATCGTGTTTGCGCGCTTCACGTTTTCTTCTTTAGAATATTTAATTTAATCTCATATGTTAAAATTCTGAAATAAGAGATAAAGTTTATGGTTTTTTTTTTATTTTCTTCCATTTTGTTTACTTGAATTGCTATTGTTATAAAGAGATAGTCGTTTACATATTATTATTTTTCTCATTTTAAAACTGACATCCGTGCAACGCACGGGTGAAGAACTAGTTTTAAATTTATAAGTGGATTGGCATTTTTTGAAGGAATTTTAATAAAGTATGTGAAGTAAATTTTAATTAAGCGGTTTGTCACCGATGACTTATATCTTAAGACAAATAATATTTTAGATAGTCAAATAATATTAATTGAAATTCAAATATTTACCGAATAATAAATATGAAAAAATATAAACAACGTAAGGTGGGAGCAAAAGCGGAAATCAAACGGAAATTCAAAGAACGCAATTACATTATCTGTCGTCAAATTTAGCAACTTTTAGTTTAGGGCTTTTTCTGCAGACTTTCTCTCTCTATCTCTCTCTCTCTCTCTCTCTTCAATTTTTGTTTGAATTTCTCTCTTCCAATCAACGGTCAGCTTCAGCTCTAAATGCAAATGCTTACTGAATTTCGAATTTTGCTGGCAATAGCTCGTCTAATTTTTATTTTGGGCATATTATTTCTTACTTGGTGATGAGATTCATCGGTTTTTTTTTTTTTTTTTTTAGTTCAGTTTGAACACAATTTACTGTTCTTCTGTATGCGCTAAATTATAAGAATTTCGTTGCCTGTATTATTTTTTTAATTTTTTTTTTCGGTTGCTGTTTGGGCTTGCTTGCTTTTCTGCAACTATGTGAATCTGTTTCAATCCTTCGTTAATTTTGTGTTTGTGTGTGTGTGTGTGTGTGTTGCATTTTATAGATATAGTGCCAATCCTTCTGAATTGCACATTAAATTAGGGTTTTTTTTTTCAATTTGTAAATCAAATTTTTATTTTCTCATTCACAATTATTCTATTAATCTTTTTTTCTCCCCTTCAAATTATGCAGATGGCTAAGGATGGAAGGTGAATTCCTAATTTCCCTGTTTTATATATTTATGTGTGTGTGTGTGTGTGTGTGTGTAATTGGAATATGTAATATCTTGACACATAGTTCATTTTTGGTGATTTTTATGTTGCAAGGTCATCTTCACCTCCCAGCCCCTCCCCTCCACCACCGCGTAGCTCCTCCCCTCCGCCACCGCGTACAGGTCGTAGGTCGAGTTCGTTACCTAGGTCACGAAGAAGTCGTTCCAGGTATAGTTCCTTTGTGTCAAATAGCTCATGTTAGAGCAGGGGCGAAACCGGGTTTCTGGATACTAGGGGGGTGAAATTTCAATTAAAAGTCAAAATGCGTACGGCATCGATTAATTGCTTTGCAAACGTAAAATGTTCTATGATTGCATTCTTTATAAACATTTAGGAAAAATAATTGGAGATATAAGAACAGTATACTATACTTATACATGCATTTTTTCGTATGTGTCGTATTTACAAGTTCGTCGAATTTTCTTTCAAATAAAGTTTTAAGTAATGCTGGAGTATAAATAACTAGACGAGCTTGAAGGAGAAAAGCGTATACTGAAAATTTGGGGGGAAATCATGTCAAAATGAATATATTCCTTAACGAAAAAACAAAATTTGGGGGGAAATCATGTCAAAATGAATATATTCCTTAACGAAAAAACGATAATTATTCAATATGATATAGCAAAATTAACATGTACTATAAGTTGGATTACAAAAAGTTACATCATTTCAGGAGCCGTGATTCTGAGGGTGCTTCTAATCCCGGGAATAATCTTTATGTGACTGGTCTATCTACGAGGGTTACTGAAAGTGACCTTAAGAAGTATTTCAGCCGTGAAGGAAAGGTACACCCGTATCATGCCTTAATTTGATTAAATATCTGAAATCCAACGCTTTCTCTTATGAATTATTTATATTACAAATTACAGCCACCCCCTAGGTAAATCCAAATTACGAAAAAAAAACCCTTTTGTTCGGATTATTACAACCACCCCCTCAACTATGTATTGTCTTACGAAAAAATCCCTCCTTCAGTAGGTAAAAGACAATGCATAGTTGATGGGGTGGTTGTAATTATCCAAATATGAGGGGGTTTTCGTAATTTGGGCTTACCTCAGGGGGTGGCCGTAATTTGCCCTTATTTATATTACTGTTGATTGGTGATGTGTATTATATTTCAAACTTGGACTGCTGGAAAACATCGTAAGCACTGTTATGGTTTTTGGTAGTGTCTTGAATAATTTTTTATTAATACTTTTTTAATTGTTCTCAGGTTGTTGACTGTCATTTGGTCACAGATCCTCATAGTAGAGAGTCGCGTGGATTTGGTTTTGTTACTATGGAGACAAATGAGGATGGGGAGCGTTGCATTAAGCACCTCAACAGATCTGTACTCGAAGGCCGATTGATCACTGTTCAACAGGTTTTTGCTGTCTCGTAGTTTTTTCTTTTTTGAAATGTTAAATGTCATTCCAATTTTATTAATACTGTTTCGGCTTCAAACGTGAATTTGACCATTTTCTAGTCTGATTTTTTGGCAAAATTCAAAGCATGGAAACTGTAGTCCTTTGAGTTAGCTTTCTAATCCAACTTGAATCAACTAGATTGAATGTGTGTTTCAAAGTTATGCGTGAATGAGTTGCATTTTGAATTTTAGATGACTAAAAACATCAAAGTTGTATCATGCATATCTTTCTCTCCCGGCTTCAAGTCTTGGTGATTCGAGTTGGATTAGAAAGTTAACTCAAAGAACGACAAATTCCTTGTTCTGAGTTTTGCCAAATTCAGACTCGAAAAAATTGTCAAAATTACGTTTGAAGTTGAAACGGTATTATTAAACCTGAAACGACATTTATCGCATCCCTTTTCTTTTATATGCAGATATATTATATTAGTCTTTTGATTTATATATTCTACTATTAGTAATTATTATCTTCAGGATATTAAAGACTTTGTATGTATACGTTGTTATTTCTGTTGACTTTTAATTTTGTGCTCTTTCCGAACAATAAAAATACAACATTGGTTTATTTTTCAGACCTTAATTTAACTTTCCAAGTCTTAATGATGTAGGCTAAAAGGAGTCGAGGAAGAACACCAACTCCCGGAACATATCAAGGTCCGAAAGATACACGAGGTAACTCTTTACCACGAGATTTTGTTTTACTTACCATTACTGAAAATATAATATAAATAGAAAATAAAGGTTAGAAAAGTTATTGGACTAACCAAACACTACTAAATAAAGATCTTTTGTTTAATCCCTGTTTTATAGGAAGTTACGCGGGAAATAGTGGGAGTAGGAGAAGATCTCGTAGTTACTCGCCTCAGCGGAGATACGATAGGGATAGGGACTTTGACCGTAAGGACCAGAGAGGGGGTTCCGGCAGAAGGTCAAATGATCATAGTTCGAGCAGAAGACATAGTGACCGTTAAAACGAGTTACGTTAAATGTCGACTAACCTAGGTAAGATGTTGTATGAATTTGGTGATCAAGAATCGGCAAACCTTATTGTACTCTGTTTGGATACTCTCTGCTTTCCATATAACCTTTTGATGTGCGACCTACCTGTATTTAACGATATATTTTTTTTCTCTTATGTAAGTTGAGTTTTGAGATTTGGGGATGTGATGAATGGCGTTGTTTCAATTTTAATAGTATTGCTTCGACTTTAAATGTGATTTTGACCATTTTTCAGTCTGAATTTGGCGAGAGTCGAAACGCAAAATTTGTAGTTTCTTGAGATGGTTTTCTAGTCCAACTTGAATCGGCTAGATTGAATGTCGAGTGAAAGAGTTACGCATCAGTGAATGAACATCGAGTACAACTTTGATGTTTTGAGTTTTTCGTATGATTCATTCATTTAACTTTCTCACCCGATATCCAACCTAGCTGATTCATGTTGGATTAGAAATCCAACTCGAAGAACTAAGAACTATAAGTTTTGTGCTTTGACTTTTATCAAATTCAGATGGAAAAAGGGCGAATCTCACATTTGAAGTCTAAACGACACCAATAAGACTGAAAAACGACATTTGGCATTTCAGATATTCTATTTTAACGGTTTTTTTTTGGGTGGGGTGGGAGGACTACTAATTCTCCAATTTCCATTTTGGATAACTCGAACAATTAATTTTAGTGTTTATTTCATCACATGATAATTTTCTAATTTATTTCATTTCATGATAATGTTAATTGACAACCACTCCCCTGAAATATGGTTAAATTATGAAAATCCCTCCTATTTGGGTAATTGCAACCACTTACCTCAACTAAAATCTTCTTACACGTCTAACATTGCGGTTTCAAATTTAGTGGAATCTTCGAGATTATATGAAATATTATCACTTTTGTAATTGTTTTATTCCACTCGAACTCTACATTTTGAAGCAGGATGATCATAATATGTGTTTTGGCTTGTATATTATATATCAGATTGTGGTATATCGAAAACTGTATTTTTACACAAAACGAGTACAAACTATAGCACATACCACGAAATCTAGATGATTATGTTGAATTTGACACCATAAGGATGAAAGTGTAAGAAAAAAACATAGTTGAGTGGCAGGTGTAATTATTCAAATAAAAGGGTTTTTTTCGTAAATTGATCATACCTCAGGGGTGATTGTAATTTACCCTATAAATTGTAATAAACATTAACATGTTTTCCAATTTCAATTTTTTTTTCTTTTCAACTGGACAATAAAAATACATCATTTTAGTATTTTTATTTATTTGTGAAAAACCCCAATTTTCACTCGGATTTCAATATTACAATTCAACCGGTCAAACCGGTTTCGGGTTTCGGTTTCGGTCAAATTGGACCGTACAAGGTAATTGTTTGCGGTTAAACCGATTCAACCGGCAGGACCGGACAAGGCAACTGTCCGGGTTTCAATGTAAATTGTCTATTTTCCTTTTAAAACAAAATTACTGTGTGTTTTTATATACTTCTACAATTTATTTATTTATTTAAATGCCGCTGACTTTTAATTTAAAATGAGACATTAGTACGGACCCAGAAAATATACATAATTTGAGGCCATTTGTTGTTCTTCCATGAATATATTTAATACTTAAAAACAATTATTAGAATACAAAATAATTGGATTAAATGAAGTTAGTTATTGAGAGACAGGCTGTCAAGAAAATGGCGGGGATGTTGATATATTTTGGTGTCAAGCAAAATTGGACTTTTGATTTTTATTTTGTTTTAAGAAACATTATCTATACTTTATTATTATTATCAATATTAATTGGAGGGTCTCTTTCTCTTACGTAAAATTAGAGTAAGAATCCAAACTTGGTCCCCTGCGAGCGGTGTTTGGGGATTTTAAGATTCCGCCAGATATGGGAAAATCTTTCTCGGGCCCACATTTAATTCTCCCTTGTAATAATTAGAGTTTTGGTCCTTGTATTAAATATTTTTTTTTTTGAATTTGGTCCTTCAATTTATTCGGCCGCAAAATTGGTTCTCAAATAATCGTTTTTTTACACCTTCCGTGTGCAGTTTGAATTTCTATTACGTGCGGAGAGCGTGACAATGCGCAAATATACAATACACAATGTTTACTCCCTTTCACTCGCATTATTGGATTTTGAGGATAATACAATGAAAGGGAGGAAATTTGTAGTTTTTTCGTCAATTGCGCTTGAACCAGATGCGCGACGATCATAATTGCTTCTAAAACATGCGCAAATATACAATCTGTTATACGTCAAACAATGTGTGGAGTAACTTCCAATATAGCAGTAAAAACAAGACGTGTAGGTGGATCGACTCATCAAGTTCCCATTGAAATAGTATCAGCACAAGGAAAAACACTTGCCATTCGTTGGTTATTAGCGGCATCCCAAAAAACGTTCGGGTCGAAATATTGTTTTCAAATTAGGGCAAATTACGGTCACCCATGAGGTATGACCATATTACGGAAAAACCTCTATTGTTTGGGTAATTACAGCCACCTCCTTCTTTTAAGTATTTTTACATAAAAAATTATGTAATTCGGTTATTTACCGAACCAAATCATATATTCAGTTCGTTAAACGGTGTGAAATGTTAGCGTACCGAAATTTCGATTCGGTTATACTGATTTAACATCCCTAAATTTACCATTGGATGAAGTTTTTCATAAGAAGATAATACATAGTTAAAGAGGGTCACTGTAAATCTGTAATTACCCAATTAAAGGGGGATTTTCGTAATTTGATCATTACTTAGAGAAGTGGCTGTAATTTGCCCTTCAAATTAAGTTCCGAATTAGTAAATGCTGCCAAAGGGAGTGGCGATGCCATACGCCAAAAGGAAGAGACTCATAAAATGGTCCCTTTTTAATGCATTTACCACGGGGTTTCGATGCATACCATGTATTTTAATTTATGTTTGAAATTTACATACTTAAATAAAAACATTGCTGGAGGGGCTTCCGTTGCTCCCCAAAATAACGGCGGTGCACGGAGGTCAAACAAGCGTTGGCTTTGATGACTGGCGGAGGAAGTGGTGGCGCCGGTGGAGGAGGTGAACATCTTTTTGAATTATTTATATTTTAAAAATACAACAAAAGAAAAAAAGAAATTCGAAAAGGGGAAATTGCGGTACAGCTGCCTTGGAAAAAAATGAGCGGACTCCAACCAAAATTTCAAACGGGCTTATAAAAAAAATAATCCGAGCCATGCAGTGAGTGACCCGGTCAACCGGTTAAAAAGTGGTGACAAAAATCGCAGCAGTAACCGTACGGTGTGGGCCACCCCCTCACTGCAATTTGCCAGTAACAAGTCGTTTTTTTTTCTCTTTCTTCAATTCCAATGACAGTTAGTATGCATTTAATTCATGCTACTTTCTCTCTCACACACAACACGCACCACGCTCTCTCTCTCTCTCTCTCTTTCTCTCTCTAGAATCCAATACTCCTCCTCTCCTCTGAACTTCCACTGCATATTAGTATTTTAATTTCTCTCAGATCCCTGCCATTTTGTTATCTTCAAATTCGTTTTACTCATGCCGAATGCTTTCTCTCTCTAGAACTCTGCTCGAGATTTTCGTCATCCGTACAGCATTTTTTTCGTAATAACAGGTACTTTGAAATTCAGTGTTCGGGGGTTAGTTTGCAATTTTGCATGCCATTAATTTGCTGGAATTTTTTGAATTCCGAAAGTTCAAATTTCATTTGAAATATTTTAATTATCTGTTTTACCTTTTTAATTAACGTAATTTGTGATTTTCCTCTGTCTCAATTTGCTGGAAGAATATAAGCCAATACAATTATGTGTGTGTGTGTTAGAGAGAGAGAGAGAGAGAGAGAGAGAGAGAGAGAGAGAGGATTTTGTTTTTGAATTTAATTATGTTTAAGGCCGCTAATTTGATGATTTGATTTATTAATGACAGAAAACTTAATGCATTACATTTATAACTTCCATAAAGTATAAATGTCAAACTCAAAAAATCTTCCCTATTTCTATCTCTAATGCATTGTATTCCTTATTGTTTTTACAGTATAGTTTAATTTTTTTTCTCTACAGGATTCGGAGATTTTAGATTTTGGATGTGGTTAAAGATTCTTCAATTGCTACTAAAAAGTGCGATTCTTCCTACCGGAGCAATCACGATGATCCGATGAATCTTGAAATTCAACTTCAAAAATTACAAACAAAGCAGCCTTTTTTCCGATTAGCAACATTCGTTTCTGGATTCGTTTTTGTGTGGATAGCTTCTATTGGTTGAAAGTGAGAATGCTGGAGACAGAATCTTGCCCATCGAGGGTATTATCGCCTTTTCGGGACGAAAGTGGCGATGAAGAGCTGTCGGTTCTTCCGAGGCATACAAAGGTTGTCGTGACCGGTAATAACCGAACAAAGAGTGTTTTGGTGGGTCTGCAGGGTGTTGTCAAGAAGGCTGTCGGGCTTGGTGGTTGGCATTGGCTGGTATATAATTTCTTCGCGTTATAAATTATTTGATTTGTTTTCGTTTATCACTTCCTATTTTAATGTGTGTGTGTGTGTGTGTGTGTGTGTGTGTGTGTGTGTGTGTGTGTGTGTGTGTGTGTGTATAATTTGTTTTTTATTGTTACTTTAAAATATCTTCGACATATTGAAAAGGTCCTGAAGAACGGGGTTGAGGTGAAGCTCCAAAGAAATGCTTTGAGTGTGTTAGAACATCCTACCGGGAACGAAGAAGACGATGATTACGAATTTGATTATTCGAGCAGTGGCTCTGATATTGTCGAGAAGGACGATCATCGCTTTTGTAAGTTTATATCAAGGCCTAATCCAATATTTTATTTAATTAAAAATTTCTTTTACGAAACTAACTTTGTTCTTCTCTTTTAATCAGCTTCCGCCTTTCACTTCAGTAAGATCAGCAAGCCTAGAGTTCGGTATAGTAGACCGTGGTCGCCATCTGCATCCACAAAGTCGGTGAATCGCAGTAATTGCAGAGAAGTTCTGTCCAAATGTAACGGAACCAAATTGGTAAGCCCAATTAAAACGGCAATTTGACAGATAATTTAACTTCTTCTGTGTCGATATTCTTGATCGATGCTTGTTTATGCAAAATAAAATACTGCATCTTTGAACTGACATTACTGAACGAAGCCGTTGCACAATTGGGTATGTGAAAATAACAAAGATAATGAAAATCTTGCAAATTGTATTGACAAAATTTTATAAATATGTCGGCATTGATTTGATATCCTTCCAAATAAAAATAATTTTCAATAACATCAATTTTTGTATGTTGACTTTCGAATTTGATGAAACTTTATCTAATGAATTTCGCGACTTCCTGTTTGTCTACCTGATTATGTTATTTATACTTTGGTCAGAGAGTTAATTTGGCGAAGCTTGGAACTGGATCATTATGGAGATATACGCGAACCTTCCATCTCGTGGGTGCCACTCTCTCTCTCTCTCTCTCTCTCTCTCTCTCTCTCTCTCTCTCTCTCTCTCTCTCTCTCACACACACACACACACACACACACACACACAGAACCTACCATTCATATTATGACATTCTTGCAGGCACATATTAGTCCTAACCCTACAAAGGAGCAGCTGGTTCATGCCATCCAACAACATTTTTCATCACAGGTGTCTACATATTCTCACACACAATCACACAAACACACACACACACACACACACACACAATTTATACAAGTAATTAAATCACAGGCACAAAGTTGAGATTTCAAAGAATAAAAATAACCGAATGCATTTGCCCCTTTTTGGTACAATAGCGCGTGGACGAGTTACAAGTGATTGTGGAATTTATCCGAGCGGCCAAGAGACTACATTCAGTCGGCGCGAATTGAGTAACTGCAAAAAAGGTGAATCATGAGTTTCTTAAATGCCTGTAATATAAAATGTATCTAGCTACTAGTACATATACTGAAGGATAATCCTAACTCCCTAGTACTACTACTTATTTCCATCTCTAGTTAAATTTAACTACTAGTGTAGAGAGAGAAAGAGATAGAGAGACCAGGTGTGTGTGTGTGTGTGTGTGTGTGAGAGAGAGAGCTTTTTTTATGATCTTCAACACTAACCTCTGTATTATGGCCATTTAATTATATTGTGCTCTTTATACGGTGCAATTAATTAATGTTTAATGTGGTTGATTATGTTTATTATTAATTTTAAATATTTCGGCCTAAATAAATGTATTATCGTCAAAGACATTTATTCTTGGATTATGTTTTTCTTGTCGCTGTTCTGCATGACAATCTTACATAATTAGGAAATAAATAAATAGGTAAATAGCACTTGCCCCCTGAGGTTTGAGTTTTCTGCACATGCCCCCCTCGTATTTTAATATAAGCACATAAACTCCCTTGTACTTTAAAAAAAATTATCTTCCTAATGAGCATGATTATTTACCAAGTCGAATGCCGTGGGGGTTATGTGTTTATATTAAAAGTATAAAGGGATCATGTGCGCATGGCACAAAACTTAAAGTATAGGGTGTTAAAGTGCTATTTACCCTAAATAAATAGATTGCAGGCTGTTGTTTGGAGTTTGAAATTTAGGTTGGATGAGATGTGTAGGGACAGGGTATACTAAATGCCCACCAACTGGAATTATGTTGTTTTTTTCTTGCCCATCTCCAATTGTCTCAAATTAATTTTTTTATTTTTTTTAAAATAACGAAGATATAGGGCTTTTGAGATCCTACACCGGGTGAAATACACCGGGTAGATCTTTACCATTAATATACACACAAACAAACACACACCCACATTGGTGTGTGTAGATCAACGGTGAAAAATCACCCGGTGTAACCTTCACCGGGTGTAGGATAGATAAAACCAAGATATAGTTAGTATATATTATTAATAAATATCATTGATTTGATTAATCAATTGGATTTGTTGAAGGGTCCCTTTCTTTTTAGTTTTTACGTAAAAATAGTGCGAGGTGCCAAATTGGTGGGGCCTGAAAGAATTTATGGTCCCGAATTCGTTTAATACAGAGGTGTTGTTGAAGGTGTTATGACACTTGAACAAACAAGCAGCGGAAATATAAAGACAAAAGAACAATACTCAGAATTAAAAATGTTCACAAGTAAAGACTTGTGAACTTGCCCTTTACAGGACGGAAAATATATTAAAATCAGTATTCCAAGAATACAAACAGAAGAGTGCGAAAACTTCTTCCTTATGAGTGAATCTTTTTCAAGATCACTCTTACAACCAAATCTAGATACTAAAAGAAAGATATCAAAAATTCTAGATTTCAAAGAATGTACTTATAAATAGTACGTACAACAGATCCTAGAAAACACTCTAAAATTCTCGAGATTAAAACTTCAGCTCTCTATTTTGTTTTCTCGAAATCTGTAATAATCTTGAGTCTTGAGTTTGATATTTATAGACTTGCCAAGCTTCCACTCTTCAGCCCATGATCTGCAAGAAAACCAACCACAAGAGCACTCAAGATAATGGGTTAGTGGGTTAGTTAGGAAGTTAAGATAAATCCCATAATTAAATCCACTAAGCACTACTTAACCCTACTAAGCCCACTAACTAAGATTTAGTTTAGAAGTTAAGAAAAGTTAAAAACACATTGTGAACTTAATTCACGTGTTCAAACTCCCCCTTTTAACTTTCTGATCAAACTAATCTTAGTTCGGTACAGGCTAGATGCTGCTC